ACACACACACACACACACACACACACACACACACACACACACACAACAGTTGTTTGTTTGTTTGTTTATGAATGATTCCTGCTGGAGATGATTGTAAACACACTGATAAACACACTTCAAGCTACGTTTCTCTATAAAATCTAAAGAAATGGAGAAATTATGGCTGAATGAAACTTTCAGAAGACGCTAAAACTGAGGTACTGAAATAAAAAAAAGGCAGAACACTAGCTAAACGCTAAAAGGGCTAAACATTGGCTAAAAAGAGGAGAGCATTACCTCAAAGCTAAAGGAAGCGGAACACTAATTGACTGACTAAAAGTAGCAACAGATGAGCTAAAAGCTAAAAATAAAAAATGTTTAGCTTTAAGCTAAAAGTAGCAAAATACTAGTAGATGCAGCAAAAGTTTAGCTAAAAGTAGCAAAAACACTAGCTAGAAGGTAAAAATAACAGAAAGCTAACTGTAAGGTGAAAGCTAGTTAAATGTACCAGAAGTTTGCTAAAAGTAGCTAAAGGCTAAATTAAAGTAGCAATAAGTAAACTAAAAGTAGCAAAGGGCTGTCTGAAAGTAGCTAAATGATAAATGAAAGTACCAATATGTCAACCAAGAATAGCAAAAAGCTCTCAAAGTAGCTAAACACTAAATAAAAATAGCAATAAGTAAACAAAAAGTGGCAACATGCCTTCTAAAAGTAGCTAAAGGCTGTTTAAAAGTAGCTAAAGTCTAACTGAAAATAGCAAACGGTAAACAGAAGGTAGCAAAAATTAAACTGAAAGAAGCAAAAGTTTCACTAAAACTAGCTAAAGGCTGAAAGTAGCAAGAGGTTTTCTAAAAGTAGCTAAAAGCTAACTAAAAGCAGCTAAAGGTTAACTAAAAAGAGCAAACGCGTAGCTAAAAGTAACATTATGGTGCCTTGAAACTAAAAAAAGATTAGAAGACAAACGTGGAGCCAGAGGCTGAAACAGATTTAAAAAAAAGAACAACGTTAATTGTTTTTAAAGGAATATAAGAGATTTGTGTGTTTTTCTGTGGGTGAAAATATTTAAAAATAAAGTTTAATGTTTTGAAAATTATAAAAGTTGCAAAGCCTCCGCCCTTTAGCTGCTGTATGAGCTGGATGTTGTGACTTAAAAACAACTAAAACACCTGTGCTGACTCAGCATTAAGTGAATGATCCAGTCCACATCAGGCGGATCTTGTTGTTGGTGTGTTTGTGTTACATGTTTGTGTTTGTGTTACATGTGCTTATGTTTGTGTTACATGTGTTTGTGTTCAGGACCTGGACCCGGTCTTTGAAGAGGAGTCCAAACCCATCTACTGTCAGGGCTGTCAGAGCGTTTCCTTCTGCAGCTTCACTCAGAACAGCCTGCTGGTCGTCTGCTCCAAGTACTGGAGGGTGAGTGACCTCACCGCTGCCACGCCCATCTGATGACGTCGCGTCTGAAACCAGCGTCCATCTTTGTTTTTGTGGGTCAGGTGTTCGACGCGGGCGACTACTCGCTGCTCTGCTCGGTGCCCAGCGACAGCGACCAGTCGTGGACCGGAGGAGAGTTCGTCTCAGCCGACAAAGTCATCATCTGGACCGAAGACGGCTGCAGCTACATCTACAAGCTGCCGGCCAGGTGAGCCTCGCAGCGTAGCTTTCAGCTGCTGTTAGCTGCTGTTAGCTCAGCTGTGAGAGCGAGCTTTTAATGATGTTGTTGTGTTTGCTCCTCAGCTGTCTGTCTGCCAGCGAACATTTCCGCAGCGACGTGGGCAGGACSAAGGAGGGCTCGGTCCCGCCCCTCATCTACAGGATCGCAGATCGAGCCGACAAACAGGTGAAACTTCTGCCCCGATCAGCCGAAATACTTTTATAAACCTGAAAACAGCCTTGAGGCTACAGCTTCAGCATCTACTTCTGCAAACTTTAAGCTGTTTTACTGTCAGTTTTGGTTTTTGTCACTTTAACTTTTCACAGTATTAAACTTTAACTTTTTTTCATTGAAACAAATGAAAATCAGCTAAAACTTTAGCTAATTTTAGTTTTTGTTTAGCTAATTTTAGGTTTTAGCTAGGATTTAGTTGGTTTTAGGATGTAGCTACAGCTTGACAAATTTTTAGTTTTTATCTAATGTTTTGCTAATATTACATTGCTGTTGAGCTAATGTTAGCTTTTAGCTTCTATTGWACTAATTTTAGCTATGAATTTGCTAAACTTCAGTTTTAGATACTGTTTCGCTAGTTTTAGCCACTGTGTTGCACCTTTTTTTTTAGTTTTCCTAAAATTATCCAATGCTTTTACTCATTTTTTATTTTAGCTTCTGTTGAGCTA